CTCGAGGTGCTGCTGGAGCGGGTACTCCTCCTGGGGGTACTGGTGCTGTCCCTGCTGTTTCTGGCGTCGCCACGCGGCCCCGACCGTACTTCGTTCCGCTCCTGCAGCAGGTTCTTGGTCTTACACCTTCTCCTGGTCCTCCTCCTCCTCCCTTAGAGGGTCCACAGCCTGTCTCGTCACAGTCACAGCTACAGCCTGCCTCCCCTTTGCCTGCTCCTTCTCCCTACGCTGGTCCGACTGGAGGTCTTACTGAGCGTCGTGAGCCTGCGTCTCGTCCTGCGTCGCCCGCTCGTGCTGCGCGCACGAGTGGTCGCAGTTCGCGTCAGCGTCCTCCTCCTGTCCCTGGCACGCACCGGATGTCTCTGCGTCCGTCCACTGCTCCTCTGCGTGCCCCTTTGCCTTCTCCTCCTGCTTCCTCTCTTCCTGCTCTTGCCGACCCGGAGTCGGACTCTCTTCGTGCTGCCAGTCCTACTTTCACGCGTCTCCTTGCTACTGCTGTCACTGACCCTTCTTTCGAGTCGTCTGCTGCGTCTGCCCTTGTCACTGAGCTCGTCGACTTTGCTGCGCGCTGTCGTCTAGACTACGCTGCTAGTCTTGTCGCTGAGTCTGAGTCGGCTTGTCCTCCGTCCGTCGGGGGTGAGTGTGCCCTTGGCACGCACGTCCTTGAGGACAGGCAGGAGGAGTTCCACTGTCTGGCCGCCGCTTCACCTCATCTCGCGTCTGTACTGCTAGCCTCTGAGGGAGACCCGGATGCACTAGACATCCCGACTCCGCGCTCTTACGCGGAGGCGATAGAGGGTCCCTACTCCTCTCAGTGGCAGGCAGCTATGGATGCAGAGATGGCTTCCTGGAAGTCCACAGGCACCTACGTTGACGCTGTTCCCCCTCCTGGGGCGAACATCGTCAGTGGCATGTGGATCTTCAGGGTGAAGCGGCCGCCGGGTTCTCCGCCTGTCTTCAAGGCGCGTTACGTGGCTCGTGGCTTCAGTCAGCGGCAGGGGGTTGACTACTTCAGACCTTCTCCCCCACCCCGAAGATGACCACTCTTCGGGTACTGCTGCACGTTGCTGCTCACCGTGACTACGAGCTGCACTCTCTCGACTTCAGCACAGCTTTCTTGCAGGGCAGCCTGCACGAGGAGATCTGGCTGCGTCGCCCACCTGGCTTCACTGGGTCTTTCCCTCCTGGTACCCAGTGGAGTCTCCGGCGTCCAGTCTACGGTCTCCGCCAGGCGCCACGTGAGTGGCACGACACACTGAGGACTACGCTGGCGGCACTTGGGTTTGCTCCTTCTACTGCCGACCCGTCGCTGTTTCTTCGCACCGACACCTCTCTGCCGCCGTTCTACATCCTCGTGTACGTCGACGACTTGGTCTTTGCCACAGCTGACACTGCTGGACTCGCCTACGTGAAGTCCGAGCTGCAGAAGAGACGCACGTGCACTGACCTGGGTGAACTGCGCAGCTACCTTGGCTTGCAGATCACCCGGGACAGAGCACGCCGCACCATTACCCTGACTCAGTCACACATGGTGCAGCAGGTCCTTCAGCGCTTCGGCTTCACGTACTCCTCGCCTCAGGCCACTCCTCTGCCTACTCGCCACTCGCTCTCAGCTCTGCCTTCGGATGAGTCCGTAGAGTCGAGTGGCCCGTATCCAGAGCTTGTTGGCTGCCTCATGTACCTGATGACCTGCACACGACCTGACCTTGCATACCCTCTTAGCATTCTCGCACGCTATGTTGCTCCTGGGAGACACCGACCAGAGCACATGGCTGCAGCGAAGAGGGTGTTGCGCTACTTGTGCAGTACGTCGGGCATGGGGCTAGTGCTTGGAGGGCGCAGTCCAGTGGTCCTCACTGGGCACGCGGACGCTTCTTGGGCTGACGACCAGGCTACGCAGCGGTCGTCACAGGGTTACACCTTCAGCCTTGGTTCCGGCTCTGTTTCGTGGCGGGCTACCCGCTCGTCTTCTGTTCTCGGCTCCAGTTGTGAGACTGAGATCTACGCCGGGGCTATGGCTGCACAGGAGTTACGCTGGCTCGCCTACCTGCTGACCGACCTTGGACAGCCGCCTCGTTCTCCTCCAGTCCTGTACGTAGACAACAAGGCCATGCTGGCCTTGTGTCGAGAGCAGCGACTGGAGCACAGGACAAAGCACATTGCTCTCCGCTACTTTCTTGCTCGTGAGCTACAGCAGCGTGGACAGTTGTGACTTGCGTACGTGGCCTCTGAGGCCAACACTGCTGATGTCTTCACCAAGGCACTTGCGCCTTGTGATCATCAGCGTTGTTGCACGTAGCTGGGTCTTGTGCCTGTCTTGCCTCACTTGCTCACTTCTTGAGTTTGCTTGTACCTTCACGTATATATACTCTTGCTCTTACTTGGTTGACTCCTGTATATCTTTATATATGATATTGCATGTGAACTGGCCTTGTGGCCCTTGAACTTGTGCTCGGAATGTGTGGTGACTTTGTGATCCACCCTGAGCTTTGCTTTGCTTTGCTTGACTGGTCTTGTGACCCCTTATTCTCCCCCACTTTGCCTATGGGGGTGTGTCAGAACATTATAGCTTACTCTTTTTTGTAGGCTATAGTGGGGTATCCCATAGGGGGTACAACCCAATTAGGGTTTCATATTTGTACTCACTTCATTTCATAATTCTCGTTCAGTTTTCCTCAGATCGACCCGCGCTCGTACGGGGCAAAGGTGGGTTGCTGCTGTTGATTCCCTCGCGCATATGACGATTCGTCAAGGCCCATGGGTGTCGCTCCGTTGTTGCTGTTGTGTGTCTGTGCAGGTCCCGACTGCTGGTGTTGCTCGTAGAAGGACATGAAGGAGAAAAATTTCTCCATCATGCTCTGGTCGAAGTGAGAAGGATGGTTCGTGGGGGTCTCGGTTGACGTTCCCCTTGGTTTTGCTGCCGTGCCTTCCTCTGTCTGCAGGCCAGAGGCTGGCGGTGGAGTAGGAGTAGTGCCCGAGGAGCCATTAGGGGAGCTCCTTTCCTTGTTTGTTGCCATGTCTTGTAATGATCAAAAAAAAAAAAAAAAAAGTTAGAGTTTTCCCCTGTCAGCTCTCATACCATGTTGGGCTGAGAAAGCCCTTTAGGATCTTTGCAGAGGATAACTTTGGGTAGGATATTTGTAATAGCGGAAGCGTTTAATGAAGTTTGTGAACCGACCTTGCACTAGTGTGTGAGAGCAAAGTGGATTAAATTGAACAAGCAAATACAAGATTTTATATAAGAGTACAGGGAATACGAATGGATATATAACTGCATTGCTGTTGCGATTCGATACAGTGCGACTCGGGCAACTGCTCTGTAACGAGTCAGTTGTGTGTCCTTAACTGTCGCGCTGTAATTGTCGAGTCAAAGGTCGCTGACCTTTGACTTTCCCGTAACCTCCAGGCGGTTACCCTAACCTCCGAGGTTTGACTCGATATTTCGATTCGGACTGCTTCGCTAGTGTCTTGGGTTTTGACACGACAGAAGCGTCTTTAAGACTTATTGTTTCCAACACCCTTCACCCTCGCTCGGCTCACTGCCACTGCGTCCAGTCAGAATGAGCTGTCAGGGGTGCACGTTGACTCATTCTGACTGTGTGTGTTGGCAGGGAATCAATCCCTGCCAACTTGCAAGCGAGATTCTCAATCGCAACCCTGTATAGTTTTGACTCGATTCAAATCGCGAGAACGGGATCTACAGTTTGGTGTACAAACGAAAATTTTTATATATGCCATTATATAAGCCCCGGCGCTTATAAAAATCCTCGATTATAAGCCCACCCCCTAAAAAAACGTGTTTTTTTATAACCCCAGGGGCGCTTCTATTCGGGGGCTGACGGTACCCCAGGGGGTACACCAAAACTCTCGACAACCTATCCAAAATATGAACATAGTTGGACACATATATGTTGGCTCTCATCCCATCCCTAGCCAGTGTTAACACTACATGTACAAAAACCAGCATAGGTCTTTCCTTGACAACTTAACGGCAGTCACCCGTGGAGGAGGCTCAAGAGATATTTGCATCCATCAACACAAACTTGGCATTTGAATGTGATCTAAGCTCCAAAAGCCACCGCCTCAAAAGCCACCGCACCCTCGCACTACCTACATGACACTAGCAGATGTACCGCATATACATACCTACACACACTGGCAGCACTGCACTACTATGGCTGGCAGTAAGCTGCAATCCACATCACCACAAATAGTGCCGGGTAGAAGATCCTGGCTCACTTTTTGAGTCGACTAAATTCGCATCACCAGAAATAGCACCTGGCAGAAGATACTTGCTCACTACCACTGCAGGAAGAGCTGACCGCAGCAGCTGCAAGCTCGCACTGCCTGCTCTGACGTGCTTCAAACTGGGAAGCCCTTTCAGCAGCTTCGCACCCTTCTTTGTCACAACAGAATTCGATATGTCCAACAACTCCAAAGCAGTCAGCTGCTGCATGTGGTCCACACCAGCATCCGTGATCGAACTTGGAAGGACCAGCATTTTAAGCCGGGTTAACGGTGACAAGAACCGAAGCCCATAGTCCTTCACTCCACTGCCAAAAAGATACAGCTCCTCAAGGCTTGCCATCCGCCCCACGAGCACCATGCCGGCACAAGTCACCCCCTCGCACTTGTACAGAATCAGAGTCTTCAAGGAAGTAAGGGCGGCCAGGTGTGGCAAGCCTGCATTGGTCACGGCAGCTTGGTTAAGGTAGAGAAACTTTAGAGTGCTGATGGCCGCCCCAATGCCCTCCAGGGTGCAATCAGTGACAACACTGCCCTTGAGCTCCAGGCTTTCCAGGTGTGGTAGGGAGAAGAGGCACTTGATGCCTTGAGAGGTGATGCCTGATGAGGAGTCGATGTGCACGTGCTTGAGGTGAGTCATGGTGGCCACGTGTGTGAGGAGCGCGTCTGAGAGGTTCGGTTGCCCCTTGAGATCCAGTGTCGTTGTTGCTTGGATTTTCTGCAAAGAAGGTCAACGGGGGAATCACCAAGCTGTATTATTGAAGGACTGAGAGTGCACTTGAAAAGAGTGAGAAAGCGAAAGCAAGAAACAGAATCGAGTACATTGTGATGTGAATGAACGCCCAGCAGCCAGCACTCATGCACACCTGCCACACTGAACTGACATCCCCTTTGCTCGGTTTGAGTTGCTCGTCAACAGCAAGCTCCTCATGCTGTGATGACTCGCCCTGCTCCACTGCTGCCGATCGCCCACTCGCTGCCAACTCAGCCTTGACATCCACACCTTCCTTCCCCAAGCCATCCTTCTGTCGAATCAACTGTCCCTTAATTGTAACCAGCTCCCCTTTCATCGCTATCAACTCCCCCTTCACTGCTACCAACTCCCCTTCCACCTCCTCCTTGCCTGCTTTCAATTTCCCCAGCTCCTCCTTAACGGTTTCCAATTCTTCCTCCAAATCCACCCTAACAGATCCCAATTCTCCCTGCCACTCTTCCTTGGCTTCTACCGAGTCCCTCATCCACTCCCACTTGGCTGTCACCAACTCAACCCTCATATTCGTCACCTCTTGCTCTCCCTTCTCCACTCGTCCTCTCAACTCTCTTGCACCTGCCACTCTCCGTCTCTCTACATCCTCCAATCCTTCCTTCGTCCCTCGCAGCTGCCCTTCAAGGGCAGTAATTCGTGCTTGCATGGCCTGTATTAGCGCAGCTGTTTCCGCCTGCTGCCTTGAAAGAATGTGAGCATCTTTACACGCTTCCTGCATTTTGCAACTGTTCAAGGAAGTAGGAAGAAGGATACCAGGAAACTAATCTTGAGGCGCCTCAAGAATAGTCACCACCCACTCCCTGCATTTTGTATGTGCACAAGGAAGAAGAGTACGAGGAAAGGAGGAAAGGTGCGCAGTTCTGTAATGCAGGGAGCTGGTGCAAGAAAGGATGATTGTCGCGCAGGAGGAGAAACATCATAGAACAAGGGCATGAAAGCTTACAATGTGTCGACCTTTTTTAAATCAACTTAAGAAACGTTTACCTGACTCACAAACACGCAGGCACCAATATGATGCGTCAAGGAACCAGGACATGCCAGCTGACATAGAGAGAAATATGGTGGAAAGATGGTGGCAAGGTAAGACGTTCTCACATGGCGTCACGTTGAGCTGCAATTATATCTTTCTGTGGCATGGGAGGGACATGACACGAGGAGGGACCATGGAATGGAACAGACTCAACAGATCAACAAGGAAAGAGAGATGGGACGGAAGATGGAAAGAGAAAGGCAACAGCGAGGAGAAGATAAGCGAGCTGCAAGGAGGGAGTGAGAAGAAAAGGTGCAGGTCTTGCTGTATGGCAACCCACTAGTTCTACTGTTGGTTCCTTGATTGAAGATTATCAACGAACTGAATCGCCTGAGCAAGTTATCATGGCATGACTCATGGCATAGAGGGCAGGATTCATGGCATAGAGGGCAGGATTCAAGGCATAGAGGGCATGACTCATGGCATAGAGGGCATGACTCATGGCATAGAGGGCATGACTCATGGCATAGAGGGCATGACTCGTGACATAGAGGGCATGACTCATGGCATAGAGGGCATGACTCGTGACATAGAGGGCATGACTCATGGCATAGAGGGCAGGATTCATGGCATAGAGGGCAGGATTCAAGGCGTAGAGGGCAGGATTCATGTCATAGAGGGCAGGATTCATGGCATAGAGGGCAGATTCATGGCATAGAGGGCAGGATTCATGGCATAGAGGGCAGGATTCATGGCATAGAGGGCAGGATTCATGGCATAGAGAGAGGGCATGACTCATGGCGTAGAGAGGGCATGACTCATGGCGTAGAGAGGGCATGACTCATGGCATAGAGAGGGCAGGACTTATGGCATAGAGAGGGCATAATTCATGGCATAGAGAGGGAATAACTGGCATAGAGCGGTTAATCAATGGCATTGAGAGGTTAACTCATGGCATAGAGAGGTTGATTCATGGCATAGAGAGGGCGATTCATGGCATAGAGAGGGCAATTCATGGCATAGAGAGGGCGATTCATGGCATAGAGAGGACAATTCATGGCATAGAGGGCAATTCATGGCATAGAGAGGGAAATTCATGGCAAGGGCAATTCATGGCAAGGGCAATTCATGGCATAGAAAGAGGCATGACCCATAGCATCGCTACGATCTGATTCATGACATACCAGGGCGGAACCAGCTGCACTTTTCAGCTCCAGCAAATTATCTCTCACTAGCAAACATTGCCGGCCCACCCTAGCTCTGGTCTGTCTCCGAGTGACGTCCGTCCACCAGGCCAGCATCAAGGCAGCCGACACGGCTGGAACAATGAAGTACACCTGGTGTTGGTGATGATGTTGGGACAGTGAGACATTTGGTGTTGGGACATTGGGACAAGACACGTGTTTAAAAACTAGTGGTGGGCTAAAAATGCGACCCGACACCTGGTGTTGGTGTTGATTGTGACTTTGATACAAACCACACGTATTGGCGTGTTAAGACAGTGAGTCTGACCACGCGTGTCAAGTCATACAGGTTTCATGTGGGTAGAGATAAAAACGCCTAAACAGCGCAGGAATGCATCTGCTGGATTATAATCACTTAACAAAGTAAGACACAAGAGGGACGCCCTCAAGTCCCTGGCGAATGCTTGGTGAATGTCTGGCGAAAGTCTGGCGATTGGCTGGCGAATGGCTGGCGAATGTATGGTAAAAATCTGGTGACTGTCTGGTGACTGTTAGGTCAATGTTAGGTGACTGTCTGGTGAATGAATAGTGAATGTCTGTTGAATGCGCACTTTGACTCGTTCCTGACCTCGAGAGGGAGATCCGCGGGTAACATTAGCACGAAGCCAAGTCCAGCAGCAGCGACAATCAGCGCAGCCAGCAGCCCTGTCAGAAACACGGTCGTCCCATCCGTGCTCCCATCTTTAAGGCGCCTCAAAAGCACATCCACGCCTGGCACCAGCAGAAGCAGGAATTCCGTTCCCAAAGCTAAAAACAGGGCGACCACCAGCCCTGAAAGCAGCCCCCAAATCAACACCAACACTACAGCTGTCTCCTCATCCATGAGCATAGGCAGATCTCCTTGATACCCTTGAGATCTGAGGCTGCTTAAGAGCTCTTTGTAAAACGCCACAGAAGCCATCTCCAGCTTGGTGCAGGCTGGGCAAGTAGTGAGAGCGGCAAGGTGATGAAGGGAAGGAGGTCGGGAGCAGGACGGAGAGGGCGAAGAGAAACGATGAAGGCGCGGCCACGATAAGGCGCTATGGATGCCAGGTACATCATTCCGGCACAAGAGAGCATCAGGGAGCATAAGGAAATATAAAAAAAGAACCGGGAAATCTTAAGAAGCATCATGGAACAACAGGGAGCATCAGGAAGAGGAGTTGAACAAACAGGAGGACGGAAGAGGCAAACAGGGAATTTAAAAGGAGATGACGAACCATGTTGCGAAACAGATGTGTTGCACTTCAAGTACCACACACTAGAATTCATGTCGTCTGGGTTCACCTCCAGTAGTTATGCATCAAAATACTTCTTTTCTTTTTTCTTTTTGGCAGATAAGAACAGCGAGCGCGTTACTGTGTGCTCAAGCTTATCTTTACAAAACCCTAGTTCGAAACCGGAGCTCAGACTGTCACAAGGGCGCAGAGAGAACGCTTCTATGACAGACTCTAGACTCCTCGGACCCTTCCCGTTGGAAGGAAAAGACGAGGCCTGCAGGGCTTGACGAGGTGTGGCAGTACAGAAGGAACGCGGAAGGATGAACGCATCGAACGCGAGGGATGGGGCAGAGGAGGGAGGAGATCAGCCTGTGCTATTTGGTGGTTTACGGGTGACAAGCAGGAGACGACAGAATGCATTAGCATGATGGCGCGGGGCGAAAGACATCGCATGTGAAATCGGTACGCATTGGCTGTGATACGTAAGTGCGTCCATGCCCTGGTGATGCGATGACATCGAGGCAACAGCAGTGAGTAATGAAGCAGAATGATGAAAGCGGAATGAGCCAGGAAGCGGAATCTAGAGGAAAATCCAGTGAAAGCGATCGCTTCACGCCTTGCGACGTTGATTGCACGCCTTACGAAGGAAATTGCACGCCGTGCGACGGAGATGGGGATTCCACGCTTTACGACGGGGATTCTACGCCTGGCGATCATAGCTGGGTTCGTGCTGAATTCCTGCCACACAGTACAGTACGATGTTTCGCGTAGAACTGCGATCGGTTCGTCTGTGTTTCAGCCTGTAAGGAATTTTCTCGGCATTCCTTACGGAGCCCACTACATCGCGTACAGCAACAGCCGTTGTTCGCCCGTTACTGCTAACGGGACTTCGCCAACTTCCCGCGCACTGTTTTGCCAAACCTCGCACTGCTGGCATGGCCGTATCGGCCTACGCTTCGGGACTAGCCCGAGCCTCGCTCCAGCGTAGCACTAGCAAGCTCGCACGCACCGCGTTACCGTTTTGCATGTTTCGCGTATAAATGTTCGCTCATGCCTTCGCTCACATCTTTGTACTCGTTTTGACACCTTAGTGCAATTCTCGCTACTTCGATTCATTGCACCCGTAACACTTGGTATTCAGAGCCCCTTTCTTTCGGACCGCGCATCTCCGCACACCAGGAAATCAACTTTTGTTTTTTCACTCGAAGGGACATACGCACCTTAGCCCCTAGGAGCCGCTGTCCTCGCGTTCTCTCGTAAACGCGTGCAGCCACGACTGCGCCTAGACTAAGACGAGCCGACGCCCTTCGTCATGGCTGAAAATATCGACGTCACCACCCTCACGCAGGAGCGTTTGAACGATCTGCTGCGACAGCTGCGCGAAAGTTCCGAGGAAATCGCGGCATTGACGGCAGAACGCTCATCGCTGCAAAATGACCTCACGAGGGCACAACAAGCACAATCTCAAGCACCTGGCACTCCGATTCAACCTGCACCCTCGACATCACAACACGGGAGTGTGGGGCAACCCGCGAGCGCGGCCAGTGATGGCGTCGTCCGCCCCGACGGGGACGATGACCACGGCACGACACACCCCGGAGCGACGCATGCGGCCCCAAGTCAGCCTCGCGTCACGATTTCGGCACCAACCCACGATTCGGGACTGCCGTCACCGAGGTCGCTGAAGCCGCAGCGCCCGCCATGTTTTGACCCGAGTCAACGGGGTGGTCCTACCGTTCAGGCGTGGTTGTTCACGATGAATGTCTTCTTCGACGCCAACTACGTCTCGGAGGACTCGGCGAAGATTCGATACGCCGTGTCGCTGCTGCGAGGACCCGCCATGGACTGGTGGCAAGTCATCGTCACGAAGCCGACAGACTACGCGACACTACCGACACGGGAAGGACAAACCGGACCCTGGGCGCCGTCGTATTTCGTGGAGGTGCCCCAGTATCGCACGTGGGATGCGTGGTGCGCAGGTCTGCGCGCTCGATTTGAGCCAATTGCGGCTTCGATCGCGGCGCGACAGAAGCTCCGCACTTGGCGCCAACTCGGTTCCGTCCAGGACTACACGAGCGGATTTCTGGCGCTATGC